AACTCCAAAATATTCCTGACTTTTGCTAACCTATATTTGGAAAAAATATGCATTGGCATTATATCTCAAGATGGTGGAAGAAGGCCAATTAAATACACAAAAGATTGAGACCAGATTAAAGGAGGCATTTACAGAAGAAGCATTTGTGGCCTCAAAGAAGCTGAGGAGGGAAAGGTGAACAAATTTATGTTAACAATATTATGAGGCTGACAATGTTAGTGGGATTTATAGGAGAAAGGTTGAAAAGACTTGTGATTTGTAAGATTTCCATAGAATCACATTTCAGTAGTCCTTAAACAGTTACCATGTTTAGAAACCATGAACATGTGAGATGTAATAACCAGAGCTAGCTAGGAAGTAGACAGACTTTTGTCAGACAGTGCTTCAAAGTGTGTAGGGCTTCACATAGTTAGACTGCAAGGAGCTGAGGTTGGAATTTATCTTAAAGCAAAATACTGCAGCCAAGAAAATGGACATGGGGAATTACCTTGCTAGTAGCTACCTCTTCTACTCTCTAAAAATACCACAACACTCAATATTGCTAACAATTAAAGTGATGGTAAGTTGCATGGGAGCAGATAATGAAGTGCGTAATGTGGTGTAAGAGGAGGTGGCTCAGGCCAAAACCCCAAAAAGATAAGAGTGAAAGGTGCTCCCTTTGTTTTTGATGACATGATAGGATGTAAAAAAAATGTGAATAGAAAATATCTTTTGATTAATCTATTTATATAAATAAATGAAAATGTCAGTGTGTCACACTTTTTCAATTTTACTCCTAGGCCGTAGCCCAACATATCATACAATTTTGCAATCAGGCTAACTCTGTGAGCAAATTAAAACCATTCCAGGCCGGATCCAGACCAGCAATCCTGAAATTTTGTATTCCCAAGTTTTCATTACTGCAATTGTTCTTGGTGATATTTTTACATGATTTTTGTGATAAATTTTTTTGCACAATAACAGTTTTTATAACTTGGAAATAAATTTGGGAATAATTGAAATTAATTGCAAAATTCAGCTAAAGTCACCCATGAAATAAAAATGTTTGTACAGAAAGTAAGGATCTACGTACATCAAATTCTCTTCAAATTAAATGGTGGCAGAAGAATTATCATTGAACTTTTAAAAGGTAAGCTTAAATATTAATGCAATACTTAAATGCAGTGATCAATTTTGAGTTCTTCTGTAGTTTATTGTTGCCTATCGTATACAGCAGCAGTATACCTTGCAAAAAGAAATCACCACCAAATGAGGACCAGATTGCAATCAAAAGAGCCAAGGCTGCAGCAAGGAAAAGAATGTCTCATACAAATGAAAACCCAGATCAAACAGCAGCCAGGAGAGCTTCCAATGCTTAGAATATGCAAAGACTTAGGGACTCTCAAACTCCTGAACAAGCCAAAGGCCCAATCAAGAGTCCTCTGCAGGAAATAAATGCCGCCCGATTTACTTTCAAGTAATACGTTTTGTGCATCAACATTGTCTCTGAAATATTTTCATAGTAACATCCATACATTCTTATCAGTTTCCCATGAAATTCAAATGCACTTCCTGTAGTAAACTGTCACAAATTCACAGAGCCATAAATCCAAATAGCTGCATATCCATAGGTCCACCTTCTTGGTTTCTCACTTGTTCACTGCCACTGACTTTATATGCATTCAAAGGTAATCAGTAGCCAGAACATCCAGTTTATTCCTGTCAGTAACACATGCTATTCCATTAACTGTTTTCTTTTATAAATGACAGAATGAATTTGCCCTGGTTTTTATTTGTAGTATTGAGCCAATGGCATCAGCATGCACACACCCTCAGTCTTTTTGGAGGTAAGTGTATTTCTTCTACACACTTCCCAGACTCATTTTTCTTTCAGGCCAGAAAGTTCAGTAAGCACATTAATCTCTTGAACAAAAAAGTCAATCAAGTATTATCTTCTGATCTCTGCCATCCAGATAACATTCAAGCCTTATGCAAACATAACATGGGGGGAGGGGGGTAAATTCTAAGTTCTCTTCCCAAAATTCAATATTTCTCTTCTTTAAGGTCATAGTTCAAAATAAAGGATTTTATTTATACAAATCAGATGACCTTGAGGCATTTATGGTCTACTTATAGAATCCAAATTACTAAGATTGGGCTTCTTGGTTTTTCACATTAAATCTGCAAGGTCCACCCCATTTTGACTGGTTATCAATTTCACTTGCTAGTAAAATTCACACTAGTAATATTGTCCCAATTCCACTGTTATCAAAAAGTTGAATGGACAAACACCTATTTATCTAAAAAACAAATTAGATATTTTATCTACAACAGTAGGTAAAGAATTTAACCAACTTCTGTAGTTAGGCCAGAAGTGTTTAACCGGTGAAACTGTCCAGCATGGATTCCAGAGGTAAAGAAATCTTTTAGTCTTCTGAACAAATAGTTAGAAGCTCTTACGGAAAAGGGTGGGCTCATTTTTAATTAGCAGGTGGGACAAGGTAACTCAACAATATTTGCTAGCCAAGGATGAAGAGTTCAATTCTTACGAGAATTAACATTAACGATCTCCCTAATAGTTAAAAGCTCTCCACCTTTTCTCTTTTCATGTAGACAATAGTAGCAACTTATTTATTGCAACTTCCACATCAATATAATTTTTTTTATGAAAGAGAGATTCTGAACTGATATATCTAATTCAGAATTTTTTTAAGTCTCTTCTCTTAGTTGGCCATCTATAACTTGGCTTGAGCTAAGAATCCACTTAAGTTTATATATTACCATTTGTTCTAACATTTTGCAAACAATTGCCATTTTGATTCTAAGCCTCTTATTCAGCACTTGAGATGATACTATTTTCCATAAAAAGTGCACACTTCCACAGTATAAACCACAGCAAGCATTTCTCTTGCCTGTATACTTTTCTTCATAATGTAAATCACTTTTATTAGATGCATTGCTGTGAAGGAGTTGGTCCAGTCAGTATATTGGCCAACATTTGTTTGCTACTACTTCTGGTTGCACAACTAGTGCAGGTGGCCCACTACTAATAATTGGATCTGTCTCCATGTTTAGAGGAGTAAGCAAGCCAAAAATAAACTAGAGAACACTAAGAAGGGTAGTGTTAGGGATATAGCCTGACAGCTTGCTGTAATGGTTGAGGAAACTGGTCTATTTTCAGGTAACCCATTATAAAATACAACTTTAGGCTATGTTATGAATCAAGAGTTTATAGAAAGTCTTATACAAAAGAAAAATCTATATCATTTATTTACTGTCTCCATGAGGCAGTAAATAAATACTGATTTGCACTTCCAAGAAAAAAAGAAATCCCTCTCTTTTTATACAGACTGTATACTTGAAGAAGACTATAAAGTATAGTGGAAGAAATGTTGTGGCAAAAAAAATAGCAACAGAAATAATGAGTTCAACAGTTTGAACAACTCTTGGAATAATGATTAATCTCAAAATTACAGGAGATACACACAATCTATATAATGCCAACATTGGACTAAACTTAAAGATTTAATGTAAACACATGATGAACTTTCATAAGAATAAATAAGAAAAAAAAAATACTTTTTCATCATACCTTCTTGCAACTGTGTTTTGATTCTCTATCACATAATTTACATTCAGACTTTTGATTAAATACTTTCTTTTATTCAAAAGTATTAAACTTGATTTATATTGTTACGTTAACCCCATATTTGTACCCTCACCTCAGATTTGATAAGTACATTTTCAGTACCTTTTGTATTTGCGACGAAACATATGAATCTTAACTTTTTTTATTTCTTGAATATGCAGATTGTGAGATATATACAGTTTTTATAACCAGATGAGTCAGGGCCAGTTCTCGGAAAAGAACCTTCCCTTCTACCCCCATCTCCTACCTGGTCCGCTGTTTGACAGATAGGTGTGAATGATGTTAACCAGTTCCATAGTCGCTGGTCAAAACAAACGCTGTTTGACAGATAACTGTGGATGATATTAACAGGGTCCGTGAATGATGCATACCTTTTTTGGGGGCCAACACGTGACTCAAAATATGGCAGTTTTTGTTTCGCACGTGTTGAGGTAACAACAACCACATATAGTTGCTGGCTATCAGAGGAGTCGGACGTCACCAAAAACTCACCATTAGAAGAATTAGATGTCACCAAAAACCAAAGGACCGACGCGAGATTGTAGATCAACATCGTCAACCCAAGTCAGCTACATTCCCGTGATTTTTCTGTGTGTTCTCCTCGCCATCAACCCAGATTGGACGTCGCCAGTCAAGAATTCATCTTAGAACATTGTCAATCCCATCCGTTACTTTCAAAGAAGTTTATAAATATCCTTTGAACAAATTGTACCCCGATAATTGTCAATCAACGTCAATTCCAAACTTATGTAAGTTTCTGCATGTTTTTCCATATCTTATAGTCTGCTATTTCTGTATTCATATGAATTTTGCCGCATTAGTATCTGTTTAATAATTGGTAACTTATCTCCCCATCCCTTGTATTATTTAGTTTTCTTTTTCTTTTTCTTATATTCACACTCCATGTATTCTAGAAATAAAATCTTTGTATTATATATTCTCGTGTTGTCTTCTGTTGTTCTGTGTCTGCGAATTGTTCATTTTCTCTCTCGTTTACCGACGTCCGAATTGGAGAATTCCCTCCCAACGTTCTTTTCTTTATTTTTATATCGAACCTTGGGATCTCTTACTTATTTTTTTTTTATTTTCTCGTTGCGTCCCGGCTATCGTAGTCCCAACGAAACCCCGGGCGTAACAATATTCAATGAAATTATGAAGTTTACACAAGAGTAATCATGGGTACAAATAAATTTTACCTTGTTCTTTTGTCCAAAAGAGAGATTATCTCCATCCAAATCAGATGATTCAGTTTTCTGAGTGTGGCATTCCAAGCCAATCAATAAGATATCAAAGACAAATATTTTTCATTTTTAATAATGAAAATAAAGAAGTAAAATTTAAAAAAAAAAAATCTATAATTCTCTCAACTTACCCAAAGATGCATAATGTTCACTGAACTCTGTTAAATTATCCCGAAATTCTGCAGCTGTAGACATAGCCAGAAGGAGGCGGCTCTTCTTTCCACCAGCACCAACCTGCCAATGACATAACACAGTTAACAATAAAAAAGAGTTCTAATAGGAGAAATCTCCTTATCAGCTGAAGAATGAAATAATCATTTGAAGCAGTAAAAATAAAACAATTTCTTATATTACTTTTGGTAAAACAGAGTCAAACTGTCATTCTTTCAGTGGCAGACATTAGAAACCTGAAAGTGATATTCTTTAATCATTGCTGATAATGGCCTGTTAGTCTCATTTAAGTCTAGCAAGTTGAGGGTTGTTAACAACCTGAGAACAGATCTGACTCCCCAGGATTTCATATCTTGGATATCAAGAATACAAATCAGTTACTTTTTCATTTTGGCAAAATGACTTAGTATTATTTATAATTTTTTTATTAGTTAATAATACAAAATAATTAAAAATAATAATTAATTAAAAAGTGTAAATAAGCAAATAAATAAATATTATAATTGTTTAGGTTTGTCTTATACACATACTTTTTAGATAAGTGTATTTTAAAGAAAGTTAGACAATCTATAAAAAATTGATACATTTGTTTGTAAAATTTTCTATTTTTAGAATTGGCTCTTAAAGAACTGCCAAAATTATTTGGGTCAAGGTGGATTGTTTCAATTTCATTTTTAAATTTTAAAAATATGTATAATTTCTATTTATTATCCATTCAAAAGAGTGGGGGCTTACACCAACATAAATTCAACAAAGAAAGTTTCAAAATTCAATAAAGAAGGTAATCAGATTTCCAAGGAAAAAGATCTGAATATTTCAACCAAGACAGAAGACAAAGTGATACAAAAATTTCATTTTAATGAAAAATAAGAAGGAAGCAATTTTTGGCTACCATCTGAGAAGCATACATAAAAAGGAACTGAAACCTGTTAATAAAACAATGTTTAATTACACAAAGTCTTTGCAATAGAATGGTAAATATGATTGTACCTATTTGCATATGTTATGTAGAAGAGATATAAAGCATATAGTAAAGGCAAGAAGTTGACTACTGATCATGTGTTGTAGAACAACACAATACAATAATATGGTGTCACCGATAGGAAATTGCTTGGATGAACCAGAATTTGAATCTGGTGTTTTGCAGCCCAGGTTAGGGCTAAAAGTTGAAAGACAACTAGGCAAGATGGGGAGAAAATGAAATAACTGACATCTTTCTAGCTTCAGTAAGCTGTCTAGCTATAATGAAAATATCCCAAACAATTGGAGAATTTGAATTTCGTTAAAATTTCAGAAATTATAAAAATAAGTTTACAACCTAAAATGAAACTTGTCATAACAGTAAGAATCAAATTTCTTTCCATTAAACAGAAAGATGAATCAATTATGCAATATATTCACAGATTAAAAGCTATCATATTTTGTGAATTTGAGAAACTTAGAACTGATGATTTGACTATTGAGAATAAATTGATTCATTTACAGTTGATTAAAGTTATAACTGATACATGTCATAAATATAAGATATTGGAACAATTACAATTGAATAATTTGTCTGATTGCATGTGTGGATGTTATACAACAGCTGCAATTGATAAAAAAATATATAATTCTACTGAGGACAATGTTGAAACGTGCAGTATAAAAAAGGAATGCAAGAAATGCAAATACTGTAACTACCAGCATGAAATTGACAGAAAAAAGTTATCCATTTTTGGAAAGATTTGCCAAAGGGAATTTTTTGTGCAAGCCCACTTTTTAAAATATTGTATTTTGTTATATTGTTTTATTTTGTTATAAATGATTGTTCAGATAATAGTTAGGGTTTTATTTGTTACGTCATTGTTAATGTTCGGGATAAGAGAGATGTTCTCTCACCTTGCATTCCCTTCTAGGGGAAAAAATTTCTTATATCTGGCTTATATATTTATTGATGATAATAATAAAAAAAATCCAACAAAGTAAACATGGCAACTGCTCTTGAAAAGGACCTCCAATCAGTAGTTAACTGGCATAATGTTATATAGGAATAAAGTATCACTACCAACACTTGAGTTTGAACATAGATTGCCAGTGAGCAAACACAGGCAATCCCATTATTGAATTAAGTAGATCACGTAACCATAGAGGAAACGCATATATGTAGGAAGTAGCTGATGACTAATGATTGTTATTTCTACTGTATTATTATATGGATCACCATTTCTACTCTATTCTTTATTACTATACAGACTGCTATTCTCTACTCTATTCACTATACTATTTCTCTATTTGAATCGCTATACGGATTACTGTTCGAGTGAGTATTATTGAGCATGTGCAGTAAGTGAGAGTGATATTCAAAGACATCAGACACTAACATTGTTCAACGGCATACTATAGTTGTATCTGCAATTACAAAATCTATTACAACGAGCATTACCATTGTAGCATACCTACAGACAATAATGGGTATGTCCCTATTGACATAAATACAGTAGTAAATACTATATATTGGTCTGCAGTTGAAGATTCATTATGTAATTCACTTGACTAACTTCTAGCAGTTGATTACTTCTTCTACCCACTGCTGACAAATCTTTTAAATGTGTTTCTTATCCTAAGTATTATCATTCATTAACAACCTTCATGTGATTATTCTATTCGGTAACCTTCCCTATAATTACAAAAGTGACAAGTATTCATTGACATCACAAAAGTGACAACAAGGATTTGCAAGGATTTATGAGGATTTGTTCAAATTACACAAGGAAAAATTAAAAATTAATCTGCGGAACATTCAGCAGAGTTCAGCGAAATGGAAGAACAAAAAGCTATCATGATTCAAATGTTGTTGCAACAGAAATTACAACAAGAACAACATTTGCAGTAACAAAAACGACAACAAAAACAGCAATTACAGTTGCATCTACAACAACAGAAGTTTTTTGAATTGTTAACCAAAACCATGGAAGGAAATGAATTAATTCCTGTTTTATTTAAATGCCTGATATTCGTACAGGGTTTAACTTCTAATAAGGATGCAGAGATAAGATCCAGGATACTTGCTAAATTAGAAATGGATTCCAAATTAACTCTCCAGAAAATAGCACAAGAATGTCAATGTATTTTGAATTTGAAACTCGATACCGCAAGGATTGAGGAAAAAGAGAATTCACAAGTACATAGTGTCTGACCATCTAAGAGAAAAAACTACAAACGTCTTTCAACTCCTAATAGATCAGAAAAAAAGACTATAACACACCCCCCTCAATACCTAATATGTGTCATGGTTGTGGAGGTAAGCATTTTAAAAGTGATTGTTTCTTCAAAAACAAAAAATGTTATGAGCGTGGAAGATTAGGACACAAAAGTACATGCTCCAGATACAAAAAAAATAATGGAGAAAAAGTAAAACATGTGATCATGATAAATACATGGAGTAACAATAAGAAGCCTAAAAGGGAAATTAACAAGGCATCATGTGCAAAAATTGGTTGGAAGCACACACAGGAAAAGAAGTGGGGGGAGGTAGTACAAATCCAATAGGTTCACTAGGCAAAACAAATCCACACTTCTCATCTCGATCTCCAATCGCCACTCACCGTCCAAAAATCGAAAAACAAACTTCTGTTAAATGAGCGTACCATGTTTTTATGCACCCAACCCAGCCAGCACTCAGTCAATGAGAATCCAGAAACAGCCAATAAAAATGGCTGCAAGCGACACCACCACTTCCATCAGCACAAAGTGCTGTCTGATTCACCATCTATCCGAGGCTCATCGATTCACCATCTCCACACTCCCTTGCAAAACATACACACCACTCTGGCCCTTTTGGATCGCTGAGGTAAGTCACCACTACACATCTCAAACGAGGAAATTTGTTTTGTGCAAATTAATAATGTAAAAATAAAATTGCTACTAGATACAGGATCTGATAACACTATCATAAATGAGCAGACATAGAGAAAAATGGGTAAACCCAGTTTATTGACTTCTGATAAAGTTGTGTATGGAGTCTCAGGAAAGAGATTGAACTTTTTGAGTGAATTCAGCTGTAATGTTTCTTTTGTTGGAAAAAAAACAAGAAAGTGGTGGTGTTTGTATTACAGAATACAGCTAATTTGTTTGGAACAGGCTGGATTGCATTATTTGATCTTTGGGACCTTCCAATTAATTCTTTTTGCAACAAGATAAATGTTGTTACAACTAGTACTAATACAGCAACTGAAAAATTGAAAAATGAACAATTGAAAATGAACTAGAAAGAGTTTTCCAGAAGTTTTCTCAGGTCTAGGGACATGCATGAAAGCAAAAGCTAAGTTTGAGTTAAAAGAAAATGTAACACGGACATTTAAGCCAAAAAAGGAGTGTACCTTAGATCCACTTAATAATGAATTGGACAGACTAGAAAAATTAGATGTAATCTCAAAAACAGACTATTCCAAATGGGCATCACCAACAGTCTACATTAAAAAAAAAAAAAAAAAAAAAAAATAATAAAATCTACATATGTGCTGATTTTTAACAGGTTTAAATGAAAGTTAAAATAATATAACTACCTGTTACCAAGTCCAGAGGAAATTTTTGCCAAATTAAATGGTAGTACATTTTTTTCTAAATTGGACCTGTCAGACGCTTATCTACAAGTACTAATGGACAAAGACTGCTCAAAACTATTAACAATTAACACTAATAGAGGATTATACAAATTCAACGGACTTCCTTTTGTTATAAAGGTATCACCAAACATATTCCAACAGATTATGGATACCATGCTTGCTGGTTTGGATTGTACTCAAGCATATTTGTATGACATACTTATCAAAAGCAAGAACTGAAAGCAACATACAGAAGTTGTAAAGAAAGTCTTTGAAAGAATCAAAGAATATGGTTTTAAGATCAGTGAAGGAAAATGCAAATTGTTTATATCCAGATTTAAATATTTAAGACAAATTATCGATGAAAACGGTAGACAACCTGATTCTTCAAGGGCGAGCACAATAAAAGACATGCCCACTCCAACAACTGTAACAAAGTTACAAGCATTTTTTAGGTTTGTTAATTACTATCATATATAT